ATTTATGTTGTTATTTAGCCGACGATTTTTAATTCCTTGAATCAAGTCATATGTTGTATTATTATAAAATCTTTATTGCAATTTATTATCTTTTCTGTAATATTCTAGATTTCTTTGAAATATAGTCATCTTGCCTCGGTCGCGGATTGTCATCGTACGAGCGAAAGACAAAAACTCGTGAGTCTACCGCCGCATTTGAGCGGTCTGATCATATTATAGTATATTAGCCCTGTACGCCAAAAACAAGTAGTGTTAAAATTGCTAAACTAAGATTCTTCGCAGGCACTTTGTCATATTCGATTATGATATGGAGCTGAACCGGTCTGCGTATAGTAAGTTTGTTAACCCATACTGACCTATATTTTCAAGTCGTAAAGCTCGTAAGTACTCCATACACGTAGTACTCACTGTTGAATAGTGCTATTTGGTTTTATTTAAAATATTGTGTACTGCTCACTACGGTATTTTTAGATACAAATCCAGAAACTCTAACCCGAAATGTTTGGTATAATCTGTATATACGTCCGTGATGTCAAATCACGTGTTTTCAGATTATGAATTCTGTGAGATTTTCGTATAAATGATTCCCGATTTCTACAGCGTGCACGCGCCACGGTCGGAATAACAGAATTATGGAATGTATAGGTAAACTATTTTAATATACGGGTTCAAGGTAGAATACCATCACTTGCTTAAACACCTTTTATTATCAATACGCCGCGGTGTACTGTACAATAACAAAATAATATAATGTGTCAAAACGTTGCTCGGCAATCTTTACTTGTTCGAAAAATCATATTTTGTATGCAATAATGAGCGTTTTGTAATAAGATTGTAAATTATTACGATCCAACAACTTGATAACGCCCGTATATTATTTCGGCAGTATGAGTACGGAGGATATTATATTATAATACACATTATATATATATAATAATTGCTGCATAAGTTTCGGGAACAATTTAAATGCACCTAGAATGGTGACAACTGACAATTGTGATTTCTTACTGATATAACCGCGCCGACGGTGACGTTTAAATGCAAATCGCATTTATGTCTCAAAATGCGTTTCGTAAAACAATTTGCATAGCAATACAGATGAGGTTAAGAACCTTGAGAAATTGTCTACAATATCGCTTATCAGATTTGTACGTTTGTCATACACCATATAATATATTACTATAATAATATGAATAATATGAGATACTTGTTCGAATTTCAAACATCGACCCATGAATAAATGCAGGTCTTATGTGCACTGTATAAGCGTTGTACTCAGTGCTCGTACATAAAATAATATAATGATATGACGACAGTTGTGGTGATTTGGTTGAAATCGTCAATCACTGGTGAATACTAATTAACGCATTCAACTACTGAAATTGTACGTAGAAAGCGTTTATCAAGGTTTGATGTATGGGATATGCACGCGTGTATTGTGCTACGTATTTAATTATGAGAGTATTTAAAATCAATTAAAATTTGAAAATGGAAAAAAACCATGATATAATATGTAATAGCTAATAGGTATAATATAAGGTTGTGAAATGAGTTTAAAGTTATAATCCCTATAATTTGTGTACGTTTATTGAAGAAATCGATTGTTCATATTTATGTAACTTTACAAAATATGGTTTTAAAAATGTATGATTGTGCTGTACGCTCAGGGGTATACTGACCAAGGTAATGATGATACTGACCTAAATGACCGATGTAAATTGGATTCGATTTTTTTATAATATTTAGTACGGAACCAATTGAATGTTAATGTTTTTAAAGTTTAATTTAAATAAATGTTTCTAAAAAATATCGAATTTAAAATAAAAATTAAATAGGAATTAGAGCTTTAGATTTTATATTTTGAAGAATTGCTGAAGTACTCATGACTAAATATAATTGGCTTGATTATGTCTGTTCCACAGACTTCAGTGTATGGATTTATAGTCTCTGCAGTCCGCCACTAAGTAAAGGAACTTGTTCCTTTATTTGTATATTGTACTGTATATTTTTAATAAAAAACAAATCAATAATAATATTAAAAAGTTCTAAATAATGAGGTAAACGTATTTAAAACGTTTACGAAATCCAAATTCCTAGTGTTTGTATCGTTGGCATCATTTTTATAGTTCACATTTTTTTCGAGAAAGAAAAATATTTACTTTTTGAATAAAAAGTCATCATTTATAGTTGGTATATCTAGATACTAAATTACTCTTAAGTTCAATTATTTTCTTAAATAGCAAATTAAAAATAAATATTAATATTAACTATAATGTAAACCTGAACGGATAATCTAAACGACAAGTAAAAATAGTGATTGCAATGTTGAACATTTTATAAAACTTAATAATATAATTTATTATATTTTTATAATTCAATCGTTTCATGAGTAAATCATCTTTTCTCAACTTGAATCTTTCATACCGGAGTTGGCAGTAAATTGTATTGTTATATAACGACTAAGGACAATATTCAATATTGTATATCATAACAATGTTGCGGAAGGCGAGCGGCATTTATCGCCTCATTACAACGGAGACGCATTATTATTATTATAATTTATTAATATTTATTAGACTCTTTTGAGTCCACACTATTTAGTTTCTTGCTTTTACTAAAAATAATCGAATATCACCACAGCTGCTTGTGTGTCACGTATTACGATTTTATAGCGAGTATAGCTGTTTACGTGATTCCGGACAGTGTATACCTACACGAAAACAATTACGCACCAGCAGTAGAAACTTGAGAGCCGGTGCGAATTGTTTGCATGCGACGTCAACTGAAAATGTAAATACGATAATAATAATATTTATTACTAGAATTAAATTTTGCTCATAGGTAAGATTCATACAGATGGGATATACCTAGTATTACTCTCTATTAAGATAAAATTTCTTTATGTATAGAGCAAGAATTTTTATCTAAATTGTATGATTTACGAAATTTTTACACATTTTTTAAAACTATTATACGATATTATTATTTTTTAAATAATTAATAGTTTAAGGTTTAAATAATAGGTTAATAATTTAATAAAATACTAGGTGTACAGCTTTTTTTTTGTTTTTCAAATATTTATTTTGCAATCTGTAAACATGTTTTAACAATAACTATAAATGATATCTATATTCTATACTCCTATGAGTAGTAGTGATTATCTTGATAGAAAAATTCTCTAAAAATGTTACGGTAACGAAAAAAATTATTATTATTTAAGAATGGAATTTCCATGAATTTTGTCCTGGTGTGTTAAAAGATTAATTTTTAGTACCTATTAGTATTTAATTGAGTTTGTTTTAAATGTATAGCTTGTGTATTGTACTCCGTACTCATAATAGTTAAAATAATTTATTTAAAGGAATTGCTTTAAACCAGCGTTTCCCGAACTGTGGTCCGCGGACCCCTAGTGGTCTGCACGTGTACCAGAGGGGGTCCACAAACGTAAATTGAAAAAATACTATATCACATTATTTATTATTGTTTTTATTTTTATTTTTATAAAGGGAGTCCACAATCAATTTTATTTTTTACTATTTCTAAGGGGTCCGGTTAAGAAAAAGTTTAGAAAACCCTGCTTTAAACTATAGGACCATTTGTATTAATTTTTTGATATATTATAATAATATGGGCAGTATGCATCTAAATTGGTTTTCATATTATATTACATTATTTTAAATTCTAATATCTAAATCGAAATCGATTCGTTTAAGATTTTTCTGTAAAACCTGTTTCACACATGAAGTAAAGCTTGTATACTAATTTCTGCCGTGTTGAAGTTACATGTCAATACTATTCTAACGATAACGAAAGAAGCATTAAGGATCGCATTGGTAGTATCAAGTTTTCAATTTTACAATTTTACGCTTTTGACTAGTAAGATATACATTTTAATTGTTAATTCTTTTTATTTTATAGTTTATTGTTTGGTATATTTCAGTATTGATATAGTTTAATTATTGGTTCAGAATGCAATATGGGTATGAAATAATTGAAAAATATATTCGAAAACATAAGTACTTATAAGTATATCTATAACACTATATACCAGACATGCTATAGTACCATGGATGTTGTTGTGTGAAAGTGCAACTTTAGAAACCGATTTACGTTTATAATATACGCGGTAAACCATTAATTAACGTACGAAATTTGAATGCACAAACGCCACGACGTTATTAAAAATAATCATATCATAAAAATGTACATCGGTATTAACAGATAAACAGAGTATGAGTTTTTATAAGTAGGTATATGACACGCATGCTGTACATACGAATATAAGTTCTTACGAAACCTGTGACACATGTGATAATAATGCAATGCCGTCGATTATAAAAACTTGTATTTACTAGCATTGTAATGATCAATGTCTATTTTCGCAGTATTATTTGAAATTTAAACAAATTGATTTTTAGTTTTGCGAAGGAAAGCCAATAACGCGAACGGTTCATACCGTGCGAAACGAGCCGGCGGTAACCGAATTCGAACTTATGAATTATCGCGATGTCATTATTACTCGTTATTGGGTCCGACAACGGTGATGATACGTACGAAAAAAGTTCACCCCCCCATCACCCGCAAAGACACGGGCGCCGGTCTTGACGTCACCGTTCCCATGTGCGTGCGATCGTACGTGTATGTTCGTGTGTGTGTAGAATGCGCGGCGAGCACACTGCGCGCGCGCGCACCGCACGGCAGCGCTTTGCGTGTGCGTGCGTGATGCGCGCCGTGTGTGCCGGTCGAGTTGGCAACACTACACTACTACAGTCCCGGGTGGCACAAAGTGGTTCTTCCTCGCGCTCGGGGGCATTTTTCCGCACAGTCTTTTCGTCTGGCGCGCTGTTTGCACACGCCGGCGCTCCGCGACGCTTTCAGTTTTTTTTTTTCGTCTCTATCATTCGTCGTTTCCCATTTACTTCTCCTCTACGTTTCCCGTCGTCACCTCGCCCCGTTCGCCGGTCGTCGTCGCGTACGTTAAGTCCTTTTCGATTAAAAACTCGTTACGAGTTCGAAATTTCCGCGGCCAGAAATAACCGAACGCGCGCGCCACACTAGGTCGGCACAACAGTAGTACAGCACGTCTAGTTGCCGCGGTCCACGGTCCCCCGATCGGTTTGCCTGTCCATTTCTGTCCGATCTTCTACTACTTAAAACCGAAATAATATCTCTCGTACGGGTTTATTAGGTTTTCCTCTCCTGAGGCCGGTCACCCACTACCTCCGCCACAGCTTCTCTACGTTCTACGGTCGCGTCGTTTTCCGCTCGACCAACAGGTATTGCCGACTTTCCAACGATATTTTTGCTCTTCGCAAATACCGCCGATTACCGATTTTGGTCGATGCCGATCAGTCCGTTTTCGCGTTGCTGTTGCGGTTGCTCGCCGACGATGTGAGTTTTTGGAAATATTTTTTTTCAAATCTCAGCAGTTTCCCGCCACTTTCTCGCCGACAATATTGGTAAGTTTTTATTCCATCACGTTGTAATGCTATTATTGTACATCAGTCGTTTTTCGATCGCAACATTGCGGCACACATTCGTAATTTTACACATTTCATTCCGTTCGTTAACAGATATTTTTTTATATGTCAAAATAACTCGTGATAGTTAGTAATATAAAACATTTTGTGTACAGGTTTAAAAAAAACAATTATTGTCTTGGTATTTACGCAGCTGATAATAATACTCGTAAAGACATTCGAATGACCCGAGTAAAATGTGTTGCTCAAAGAAAATAAGTACGTGGTTTATAAGAAAAAAAATATTTCTTGTATCGTTGAATTTGCTTGCTTTTAAAATACGGTTATTATCAAAAATTGCTCTACGTTCCTATAAACATAATGTATCTGTACATTTATTGACGTTAATGCTAATCAAGAAATATAATACGTTATCTATTTAACGGTCCTTTATTTGATTATTACCGCAGTATAGTTAGTTTTATCTTGTGCAAATTAATGTTGTAGCTCAAAAGACTTATTTTGTTTTTCCCAATATAATTTTTAAAGTTTTTAACATTCCAAGGTCGCTGTTGCAGATCTTGGCCAGAGTTCAAAGGGTAATGAAATATTTACCTTTGTAATTTTATATATTGGTTGAATTAGTTTCTTGCTCCCTTTTATGTACAAAACTCAAATTTATCGGATTAAATATATATAATGGTGTATTTCATTTAATACGATGTACAGGTACTTGAAAATTAATTAATCGTTATTATTTTGGTAAAATAATGAGAAGGTACTTCATCGCTAATAAATATATATTATAATGATGTTTTTGTTTATTATCATTATCGTTCGACTTAATTTTAAATTTAGTAAAGTTAATTATTGTATGCATTTCAAATAAGCTTATTTTATTAAGTACTTAATTACATCAACGTAAAATTTAAATCTATAAAAGAAACCCAGGAATATGTAACATTTACCCTGCTACCTGCATATTATTATAAATATAAATAACGATTTATTACTTGTTTATTTTTCGTGCGCCTAATTAACTATTTTTAGAAATAATATTTTTCAATTGATGTTCCTGCAACAATAACATTATATCCGTCTTGGGTATCTCGAAAAGTTTAATATGTTTGGAACGAACCGTCATATGCAGACTAGCACACGGCTATGCAGATTTATCCACTCATCGTTCCTTCTTCCGCCCAAGCTGAAACCATTCATGTGATAAATTAATTTATGTCGACCTGCGTGTAGGATTTTTCTTTCAATTTGTGCATTTAGACAATTTTTTTTTAATCTTATTATTTTGCCTTTGAATTTTTCATTAGTTATGTATTAAAAATGACAGTCATTTGTAAATTCTGAAAAATTATAAATGCGTATCGTTTTTATAAAAGTATTTGAAGTGACTGATGGTGTCAAATACAAAACACGTCGAAGCTTAGTGAAACTTGTATTATGTTTTTGACGTTTATGATCCTTTATTAATTTGAGACTAAATTTTCTATGTATGAATCGAGCATTGTTTTTATTCTTCTTAAATAAGATGAATTGTATTACTTGTAAGAATATAAATAATACAAATAGGTAATAATAATAATAACTTGTACTTAAAGTATTAATTTCAATGTTTTAATACATACAATGGCAACAGTTATTTTGAATAACATTTATGGTTTCTTTTAATTTACACCATTATACAGTTAATAATAATATAACTTTATAGTAATATAATATTAATAAGGACGAATAGTTAACGTAATGTCTTGTATCAATAATTATTAAGTAATAAATTAAAAAAAAAATTAAAATATTTTATACTAAGTACTTTGATAATACAGTATAAGTATATATTTTTTGTTTTTCTTTAAATAATATTACGATTAATAACTTGTTCCAGTTGCATTTATTTTGAAGTTATGCGTTCTAGTAAATACTTTGAGATGACGATTATATTGGAAGGTGGCCTATTTTTTGGTAGATTATTATTCCTCCTTCCTTTTATCGTGAGTTACCAAAAATTATAATAAATATTAAATGGTCATATAGTACACAATTATTTTTTTAGTATTGGAGACATAGTTTAAGTTAATGTTAAGTAAATAAGAATGTTAGAAAATAATAACTTGTAAATATTTTACTTCAATTAAGAAATTAACTTGGGCTACTTTTAAGTATCAATTATACGATATATCAATTACTATAATTTCTGTAAAACAACACTGTTTTTGAAGAGATTGATATTTGACACTAATAAATTAACACTAATCTTCCGGTACCATAACTTGAAAATATTTAGTTCAAAATAGTTATTCTGGGTTGTCAATTTGGTTATTTTGAATGAAATATCGGTTAATTTTTGTTAATAACTTGAAGGTAATGGTAAATTCTAAAATCATTCAAACTTTAATTAATCGGAATGTGGGATCTATTAACATGTCATTGTAATATCAGAACCTTAGAAAATTGTTTTGAATTTTAGATAAGTAGGCGATGTAAGTAAGAAGGTTATGACTGTTATGAGATTGAATTAAAAAGAATTAGTCTTGTGTGAAAATAACTTCAACAAATGACCAATTATTTTGAAGAAGTTTTTGGAATTCTCTATTCTTATTAATTCGTTATGGCTGTCAAGAAGACATCATACCCTCACGTGTTGTCTGTTTTACTAACGTACATTATAACAAATTTCCATTTAGTAGAATCCATTTTATGTTGTTAACTTAAATACTGTGTAAATTTACCTATTACCAAAATTAAAGGTTAGAATATTATTTAGGGCAATATGTGGGTTTAATTGCAATTTTTATTTTACTGTGAGTTATGAGTATTTTAAAGTTATTTATATTTTAAACATAACTATAACTCACTCCAAATTTAAAATATCAATAAAAGCCTACGTGATGCCCTATGTAATGTTTTTATCATAAATTTTGATAATAAGTAAATTTGCTAATATTCTAGACGTCTCACCCTCGTGTATTATCTTCGTCTTACACATGGGACGACATAGTAAATTTTCGTTCATCAGTTTCAATAGTGTGCTCTTAGTTTTGATATTAAAGTTAATTGACCTATTATCAAACTTTTAGTTAAGAACATTATCTGTGTTCTCTCGTTATTTTTTAAGATATTTTTAATTTTTAAGTAAGTTTTGAGCGTTTTGAAATATTTATATTTTTCATACTCTATAACTTGCGGGTGCAAGATTCTCTCTAAATGTGATTTTGAATCAAATTTATTAATATCAAGATCGTTAACAGTAGTTGCAGTTTATATAACTAAAAATAACATTTTATATATAAAAAAAAAATTATGTTTAATATTTTTTTTTAATTCATTTTTTTTTTTTTTTTTTTAATGAAAATGAAGTTTTTATACATTTACCTGTATGAGTTTAAAAATACACTTCCAACCTGATAATCATGTCGCTGATTTTATAACTTTTTTATTTCCTTTTACATTTAACACATTTTTCGAATATTAAACTAGATATTAAAGAATTAGAACTACTTTTGATATTAAAACTAATTGAAAAACCAGTAGAGATAAATGATAAATTATTATTCCGTGTGACCACAGAAGAAGTACTTAATGGATCTGGAAAAAATTTGTGTAGTTTTCTATTTGGTGCAAGTATGATTGATTATATAAAAATTATTTAAACTCAAATGTGATTCGGATTCTAAATATGTATTTATCATTGGTAGTCAACATAGATTACACGTGAACCAATAAATCAGTAAAAATTTAATTTAGTTTACTGTAAATGTGTACACATTAAGATTAATGCGTAATGTTAATTTATTTCGAGATGAAATTAATTAGTTCCTGTTTTTAAATGAAAACCGTTAAAATAAATAACGTATTTTAATAATAACGTTTTAATTTTATTCTATGAAAAAATATCTTACAATATTGATTACAACTTGGCACATCAATTCCAATTGGTGTAAGTATACAATACTTACATCAACTGTTTATATTTAATTTATTGTATTATTTATTTTTTTATACATTTAAATTCAATTTCACTAAAGGTTTAAATATGAATCAATTATTTAATAAAATATATATTTGTGCTTTGATTTTGAGGTTGAATACATTAGATCAAGAACATTTAGATATTCATTATAATATTTATAACTAATATGTTATCATAATTAACATTATACCTTCAGTTTTGTTATAAATATGAAGTTTAAAAAAAAGTTGCATTACCTATAGTTGTAATAATTTTTTAATGCGTATTATACTCACGTGAGTCGATTTACACTAGATACCTATGATGTATTATTTGTGATTTAACTCGTTGAATTCATATCGATTTCCACGTGGGAGTCTTTCGGAAAATAGTGTACTGTATGCTAACTAAAATAACTGATATATTCCCATAGTAGTTCCACACAATGTTCATTATTCCTTTTATTATGAAAAAAACAATTTTATACTGAGGTCATTTAAAAATCATTTATGTATTATATCCAATGGTTTCATAACGATTAGTAGTGGTGTATGAAAATCCACATGAATGTAAATTTATAAAAATTATAGTTAATTGTATATTAAATTTTTTTTTATACAAAATATTTTTTAATTTTTTACTCGATAAACAGTTTTTAAGTATTAATGAATGGTTCTTTAAATAATAAAAAGTATAGCTTTTTAAAAAATTGAATTATTAATTTATAAATTGAAATTAACTAATTTTGCCACCATTATAATTTTTGATGTGCTTAGTGAATCGCTTTGTTGAATACGATTTAAATTAATGATTTTGTAATTTATGTCAAAATTTTTATGACATTACACAATATAGGTAGGTACATGGCTTAATATTATTTGTTTATGCAAATTTTTAATATCTGATAAAGTTATTTAAGATAGGTATTTTACTCGGTATTTTATTATTATGCCTAATAGAGTATTATTTTAACACTTAATAAATGTTTTGTTTTGAGGTTACACCTGTACCACTATAGCGATATTTATTTTTATTTTTT